AGCTCAACTACTACTTCAAAGAAAGCAAATTAAGCGCTATTTGTGAGTGGTAAGTGTACACTTGAAGCGCTTTAGTCTGGTGAACGCAACCAAAATTAGTAGTATATAAACAGTGTATTTCATAAAAGTTAGGTTATAAGTCATCATCCTATTAGATATGTGTATTTTTGGTACGAATCTTTAACCTTGACCATTAGAAAAAGGTCTGAATAATAGCCCATGTTTATTCTGTTATTCTACTAAATTGTTTAAGTTTAATAGATTAGGTGACTTTTATTTGATATGAACATACAGTATGTTCAAGTCAAGTTGCATGGTTGCATATTTTTGAGCCTAAGTTTACTAATCGGAAGCATTTTTGTCACATTTGCAGTGAAATGGTCAAAAACAATTGCACATCTCAATATTTCAATGAAATGACATTTATATATTCAAAGAAAATGCTATAATAGACATTTTCCTTGTCTATAATCTTATGGTGTGCTCCGTTATATCGTCGCGTTAGAATCACTTGAAATGTTACATATTTAAAACACATTGCACTAGCATGTAACTAATCTTGAGGTAAAAAATGACCCCACTCTCGTTTTGGGGATTAATCTTATTTATATTCAGTAGATCAAGTAATATGGTATAATATACTTTATCTTTCATATCATTAATAAAATTATAAGTAATAAAATAGTACAGATTTGAGAGCCGAAATGTCTTAAAATGTCATTCTAGTGTTAAACGAACACATTTCTATCAAAAATTTCAAGATCATTTTTTCTGGGTATTCTTGTTACTTAGATCTTAAATCTTAGGGTGTAGATATTGTATTGAATCGCCATTGTGTTGATTCTATTATGTATTTATTTGTACATTGTTTAATAGACTCCTCCCTGCAAGCTGCCGAAAACAGATGAGAATGAACCAAAGGACGAGGTGTCACTTCCAAAAATAGATGAAAATGGATCTGAAGAACAAAGTGAGAGCACCGAGAAAAAAGAGACTGAGGATGCGATGGAAGTAGATTCAATCACTGAGGATACAAAAAAGTCTGATGAACAGAATGGTAAGGGCACTTTTTCTATTTTGAAGATTTTCAAAAATTAAATGAAAATCCGTCGTCCACTATGATTGCTGAGTCGAAGTGTAGCTGAATGTCTCGAAGCAGAGTGGCCTGGGCTTTACAACATCATTTGTCTGACCCTTTCAACGTTCTCAGTAGTACGCACAGTACGATGGGACCGGGCGTTTTTTTTGTCATTATTGAGCCTCCTGTTCAAAGATTGTTAACCCTATGTAAGAGTGTATCACAAGTAGGAACAGAATTATTTCGATGAATTTTATTGATGTGTTTTAGGAAAAAGAAAGTTGGGATGTGTTTATGCAAAATCCAAAACTTATTTGACATTCTTCTTTTCGCCTGCCCTATGTGTTGAAATCTGTGAAATAGAAAAATCGCAGCTTTTTACGAAGTCTGGGTGTTGAGATCTCAAATTACGAGATGAATGGCCGGAATTCATCCAAGTATAAGCCATCTTTTTCATTAAAAAATACGGTAAAAATGAATATCTCTTTTGTCACATTCATTTTGAAATTCATAATCTTCTAAGGGATAAAGTTCTTCATGGAAAAGTCTAAAAGATTGAGTACTTTTTGTTGATCGTTTGGCAGAACACTTTAGCAAACCAAAAACTGTCAACATATGCCATTTAATAGGAATTTTATTCAATGAGTGTCCAATTGATTTTGATACAGATCTCAAGTTAAATAATCTTTTTGTCTCCCAATAATGGAAAAGAATGATTTTATACAAGAGTAAACATAATAATAAAAATAGTGTTTTTATTAGATTTACAAGTAACCGTATATTTGTAATCAAGTTATTCAAAAAACAAATAGCTACACGTTAATCTAACCAGACAAAGTTCTGATACTTCGGTACAAAGAAACCATTTGCATTTACTTAGAGATAACAATAATTGACAATTATCAAATGCACGAACAAAAGAAAAAAATCATCCCATCATTTTAAAACACGCTTTAAGGGGTTGATTCTGTCCCATCAGATCAGCATACCTTGTAAATTAGGTAAGTATTTAGTAGACTTGCAACGGATAGTATTCGCCCATACACGGAACATCAAATATTCTGCCGCTGTGGGGCGCCAAAATTTGATCGGTTGATTTTCGTTTATTTTGATGTACTCACTGCCCTCCAACACCGCACCGCTTCACGTACTCTATTGCTACCACATTTTATTTAGACTAAAAAATCGCATAGATTGTTCTTTTGTATTAGTAAGAGGATATTTTCTTCTAGAGGTTACTACTACAAACTACGTTTCTTACACTGTCAAGTTGTTTTGGAATCATTCTTATTTTCGGGAATTTTCCTTTTTTTGGAGCTTATGTTCTGGCCTCCTTTCTCACAGATAAAAAAATGATTATGGTTTAGAGCCGGTCTCACGCACCATTCTTCTTTGACACTCACAAAAACGCACATGTTTATTAGTGGATGTTTCTGATCTTTACAGTAATGTAGAACCATAGAAAATTGTATAAATCTGAGTATAATGAAAAAAAGCTATGATACTATCCTTCTCAGAACCCGTTCATTCGTAAGGTAAAAATGTATAAAATGCTAGAATTAAAAAAATTTTATTCATAATCTGATTCTTTGCAGTACCTACCGAAACTTCTATGGAAACCGAGGAAGTAGTTGGCGATAAAGCACTTGCTGTAGAACCAGAAAAGACTGAACCCGAAAACATTACCGAAAAGTCTGACCTCCCCACAGATAAATCCAATTCTGAAGAGACTGATGCCAAGACTGAAACAATAGATGACATCAATAAGGTCGTTAGTGTAGAAAATAGCACTGAAAAAACAAAGGATACTGAAGATACCACAAGTCAAGAAAAACAGAACGAAGCAGTGCCCACTGATAATGGGGTTGAACCAATGGTCGAGGCAGAAAGTGTTGCCAAGACAAATTCCGTCAATTCTAGCAAAGATGTGGATAGTGTAGAACAAGCTGTCCCTGAACTCGATAGTGACAAAGCGGCAACTACAAATAAGGTCTGCGAAGAAAGCGTAAATGTTACAGAGGAGAAGAAAGTGCAAGAGAATAATAGTAAATTAGAAGAAAGTAAAGAGGAACCTGATTTGAAAACAATCGATGAGGTAAAAGAAGGAAACGAAAAGTTAAAAGAATCCAATAATGTAGAAGCAGAATCAAAGGATGAAACAAATGATGTAAAGGAGAAAACAATAGATGTAAAAGAGGATGAAGAAAAAAAAGATTTGCCCGAAAAAAGTTGTGTGGACAAAGAGTCCGTGGAAGAAAAGAAATCTGAAACAGCACCGGAGGTTGTCAAAGAATCTACAAAAGAAAATGGTAGTGCTAGTGAAAGCCAGAATGGTAAAATTTCTTCTGAAGTTAGCAACGGAGTGGTGAATGGTCAAGATAGTTGTGATAAAAGCTCAAATGGTCAATCTGAAGAAGCAACAGACATTAAAGTAAAGAAAGCGGAAACGAATGTAGAAGCGCCCGCAGTTGCTGTAGAAGTGTAATGGGATAATTAATTTAATGTGGCTACTAAAATATATTTCATTTTGAGATTAGGGGTTTTGTTTTGGTCACATTTCTTGTCTCACTTTGAGAAACGAGGACTTACTCATAAATAACATGGAGCACAGTTTTAATGTGTATTGTGTTTTTGGTTTTCTTTACATTTTGTGTTCTTACCATTGTTAGTTCCTGATAATTAGTATGTGTAAAATTATCTAGTAAGTGCCAAATTCTAAACAAATTGGTGTAGAAAAAATGACTGATATCTCCTTGGCCGTTATCAGCGGTGATTTCAGTATTTAAACTAACATCCAGTATTTATAATATATGACTGCTAGTTTAATGCAAATTTCGAAAACTTTTGATGTGGTCTTTTTCTAAATGTTTTAATAACTGTTTGTATTTTTATATGCGTTTTATTACTGTAGGATATTTATAAACATTCCTTTGTTATTCACATTCAATATTATACGTAATAATAATATTGTATCTTCGTGAAGATTAAGTAGGTTGTAATATACTTTAGAATTTTTTATCGATTAGGATTATATTTATACGAACATAGGGATGAAAACCTTCAACATTTTGTAGATTTTCAAATTACATTAGTTAATTTATAATAAGCTTCATTGTATACGTTGGTAACAATAAATATTGTAATCTACATATTCATTCTTTTTTACACATTTAGCACATTTCATTTTCCTTTTAATGCATTCAACATTGGCTCTGCGTGGTTTCTTCGTTTTTTTGCTTTTCATGAATGCCTATAAAGAAGTCAAATAGTTTGGCTCTAGATATCAAGTTTCATGTTTACATTTTTAATTGCTTTATGTTAAGATACTGAAAACGAGGTGCAATTCAATTTAGTAAGTCTCTTACTCCCTTGGATTGTGAAGGATGCGGGTCAAATAGCCTACTTTGTCCACCACATAAAAGATTCTTTGAACCTCCTGAGAGCTGTTTGAATCTACAGTGCTATTTATTAGGAAGTAGACATAGGGATTTATGTATATTGTTTTTTCTTATGTCTACTTTCAAAAGACAAAATCCTTCTGAAGGGCGCCTAATTTTATGCAACCAAAATGACTTCTTTAAACATTAAGATCCGTTTTATTTGCGAATACATCGCTATGCATGGTTTTCTATGTCATTATGGTTCCAACCACTACCCACACAACAATTGCTTTGAACTCCTGTCGGTCAAAGCATATGTAAGAAACGAAATCTAGAGGCCTAGAAGTTTTTGTGTAAAAAGTATATGGATATATAAGCAAAAGCAACCGATGAAAAATATGCAGTAGTGTCATTAAGTACAAAAATACGGGCGTACTTCTGATAATAAAGAACAGTTACGAAAGTTTATAGCAGTAATAGTAATCTTTTTTTATGGCACGCTAATAAAATTCTGACCTTAATGTTCACCTACTGATACCTACTTAATCTTACTGGTCATTATTATTTACGCCCTCCTGATTTGTAGTCTGTTTTTAGATCGCTCCTTCGAAAGTTAAAAGTCTTTCAGACGATAATTTAAAATACCAATCGCATGAAAGTAGCCGCATTTTTTGAATTTTTAGCACAAAATACGGACGTACTTCATATCGTTTAGTTGGAAATGTACGTCACCAAAGATTTGAAATTTCACTATTCATGAGACCGTGTTAGAAGCAAAATCAAAGTTCAATTTTTGTTGCTTTTTGTATAGCGCTTCAAATAATTAGGTGAGTAATTCGATTAAAGTAGTTTCTTGAACGCAATTTTTAGGTTATAATGGGAATTGTGAAGTTTCTCACTGTTCGAGCCGTAGAAGGAGTTGTCGCAGTTTTATTAATTACATTTATGCCCAATCTTCCACCTGATGCAAAATATTCTCTAAATTACAAGTATAATTTGATGTAATTCAATATTGGGACACTAACTTCTTTTTCTGTAGTTTAACACCTGTAATGCCCTTTGAAGGTGCTTTAACGCTAAATGACAAGTTGCAAAGCACCGAGGTATGGCATAAAGGTGATTTTAATGGGCCCGAAGCGTACGGTGTGTACAACGGGGAACTTTATACATCTATCCACGGTGGGAATGTGATTAAATTAATTGGAGAGAGTTTCGTGCCTGTTGTAAAGTTCGGTAAACAGTGTAAAGGGTTTTACCAAGAGCACATATGCGGACGGCCTTTAGGATTTCAGTTTGACAAACATGGGGGACTTTATGTCGCTGATGCGTACTACGGAATATATAAAGTCGACATGAAGACAGGTAAGTGATCATTTTTTCATTTCACATTTGGTAACCAGATTATAGCAAATAGTAATTTATGGTAATGAACATTAAATATTAATGCTTGATTATCTCTCTTACGAAGTTAAAAGGTCACAGTCATTAGGTTTTTGATGTCTGCGTTCAGGTAGCATAATTCCTCTGCAGTTTGGTAACTAATTAGGAAAATCGCCGACGTTTATCTTTATTTTGTTAAAAATACCCCATTATCTATATGAAGTTATCATTTTTGTTAAATATTAAGATAAGTTTCGGGGATTTGTTGACTTGTGTTTCATATTGTTTTTTTTTCATTATTTTATCAGTGCACATTGGTACCTCTATCTCATCAAGCTAAATTTAATCTGTAGAGGAATTTATTTATTCTCGCCTACTCACTTTTTTGCACAGTAAAAAAGAGGCCGTTGATGTATAGGAATCTTAAAAGTAATTGCTTAATCTTAAGAATGTAAGCCTTCTTTGATTATTAGTGTTTACTATTCCAATATTTTAAATTGATGCTTAATCATCGTTTGTAAAACCTGGAATTAATCAGGTATGTTTATAGTGGTGTGTTATTCATAATATTTACATTACCTTGTTACAGTTCTATCCGAGGTTCTATCAAAGCTTACTGTAAACATTACATTTTCTAACCATCTTGCAGCAATGAATAAAAAGTAAAGAATTTGAATAAAAAATTAATTAAAAGGATCTACAACCCTTGACTGCACCTTTTCTTCCAGTTCGTTAACCGCATAAGTACACGGAGAAAAATAAGTTGGTTCTCTTAGCAGTTTCTATTTTGCTATCATTATTTTTGCTCTGATGAAAAAATCTTTTAGTAGAATGTCTTTTATGTTTGTCTCAGAAGCGAAAACGAATTTGTTGGAAGTGACAAAAATTTTAGTACACAAAGATTAGCTGAGACAACAAGGTATCCTAGTAGTAATTACAAATGAAAATTTCGCTGTCTCAGCTGTTCCTCGCGTAGCAATCTGTTTTGCACCCAGATGCAAATGGTTTGCTGAGCCGACAAAGTATGTTAGCTATAGAGTTACATACGTAGGTATGAGTCAACGGTCAGCAGAGAAATAAAACCAATTTCCGCAGCCCACTGCCTAAGTAGAAGTACAAGCGAAGCAGTAAGTTTAAGTTTCGGTTTCATTTATCATTTTAATTTTACGCGTAAGTGTTCTGTACCTTGAGCAAATTAGCGGAAATGTCGGAATCAGAATTGCAGTGTGTGAGTGTGGAAAGTGTTTCTGGTGATACATCGACGGTCTACTAAAATGTTGGGGGCTAGAAATGTTGAGTAGCGTCTTCAAAGGTAAGTCGAAAAAATGTGTCTTTACTTTCTGTAAATGTATAAAGTATAAAATACCGCCGGCTAAGCGTCGAAATCTAACGATTGCCTCAAAATGGCGACAAAAAAGACCCAGATGTGATAATCGAACACGAGCTGAAGGTTGATTTTACTAAGAGGTGTGTATAACGAAGACATAGGTAAATCTGTTTATACTACATGCGTATTTTGCAGTATACCGACAGCTCGGCTTGACAGTTTGGCGGTCATCGTCCAGCGTATGTTCCCAACAGAAACCAAAGTATGTCCGTTTATAGTTGTAGAGAATTGCATTTTTAATTAAATGTTTCCAGGATTGTTATTTTACCATAGTAAACGAACAGGGCAAGAAATCAGAGAGAGGTAAATTATTTACTAAATATTATAATTTGAGAAGACGATTTACTAGTATTGGATTGATTAATAAAAAAAACTAAAAGTACAGCTACAGTTCATGGTTCAAATAAAGGTGAGAATGTTACTTCCACAAACATTACATTACTTTTAAAAACAATGAGTATAATGAAGATGTGTAAATTTGTAGAGATTGGTGAAGAGAAGAGTGAAATTGTCAAGTGGCTGGAGAACAATGTATCTCCATGGACGTCTGTCATTAACCATTGGACTGAGACCTTTCATACACGAAGGAATTTATTTTTGGAATTACCAGATCTCTGTGGCTACAAAGACAATTTTTGCCAGACCGCACACAATTTAGCTGCTAGTGCAAGTTTCGTCTATTATAGGATAATAACGCTCTTAGCAGCTGCAGCTAAAATAATTTGCTTAGAGAGCAAAGAGATTCAGTGACCGGTACTTCAATATGTTAGTAGTGGCTACAAATGGGACTGGTTCTATTGCAAATTTCATCGATTATTGGATACTAAATTTACTGGCAGCCGCAGCTAAAGTTATTTGTTACGAAATCAAAATAGTTTAGTAACAGGTACTTTCAGATTTTAGTAGGAAAAGCAAAACGTATTTAGTTACATCAACTAAAAATAGGTAGCATTTTTTCTTTGCTCTTGCTGCAAAACTTTTAGCAGTCCATATAGGTGCAAAGAAAATTAGCTGCATATACTTATTTTTTTGTTCTTATGACAAATCATTTTTCTCCCGTGTAGACCTACTGAATTTGCATTTGTAGCAATTTGGTTGATGGAACCTTGCAAATTACGCACTACACTACCTACAGTTTTTCCGGCGAGGCAAATCATGAGGTCGTCGACATACAGACATCTGTCAACTGTCTCCGTAACTCCTGAGGCTATTTCATTTATTGCAATTGCAAAGAGAGAACAGCTTAAAGTTGACCCTTGCGGCATCCCATTCTCTAAAACGTGTTCCTGTGAATAGGTGTCTCCGATTTTAACGGCGAATCGCCTATCTTCTAAAAAGGAACGCACAAAGTTAGGTAAATTACCGCGTAGGTTATATTTTGACATATTCTCTAGAATTCCATGCCTCCATGTCATATCGTACGCCCCTTTAATGTCAAAGAACACCGCAACCAGATGTTCTCTATTATCGAAAGCCCTTAGGACTTTGTCGCTCAGCTTTACCAAGTGATCGATTGTTGACCTGCCTCGCCAAAAGCCTGTTTGGTATACCAATATGTCGTTGGTTTCCAAAAATAATTGCAGACGACGATTCACCAATTTTTCTAATAGTTTACCCGAACAAGACGTTAGACTAATTGGCCGGTAGTGTTTTGCCAATAATGGATCTTTCCCTGGTTTGAGTCTGGGAACTACAACTGCTTTTTTCCATTCTGATGGGTAAGTACAATTTTCCCAGCATTTGTTAAAAAATATTAAAATCTTTTGTTTCATTTCCAGACTACAATGACGAATCATTTCATTATGAATGCCATCATATCCCGGTGAGCAGGATTTGGTGCTCCGGATTGCTGTCTCCAGTTCTTCAAACGTAAACGGTGAGTTATAATCTAAGATTTCTTGTGTATTAAATTCAATAAAATTTGCTTCCTTATCGGCTTTGGTTGCAAGAAAAGTTTCCGAGTAGTTCAATGAGCTGCTAACTTGATAAAATTGGTGCGCAAGAATATTTGATATTTCCTGCATATCGTTCGTCATTACCCCCTCTGAATTACGGATAAATACCGGATAATTACATCCTGTTTTACCAGATATCGCTCCAACCTTTTTCCATATTTCATTGGTGGTAGCGGCAGGTGTAATGGTGGACACATATTGTTGCCATGATCTCCTTTGCGATTCCAGGAGTTTTCTACGACACTCCGCTCTTCTTTTTTATATTCAATAAGGTTCTCCAATGTTGAATGATGGCGGAATCTTTGTAAGGCTCGTTTCTTTAATGAGGTTTTTTCTCCTACTTCAGGAGACCACCATGGAACCATTTTAGTCCTTTTGCGACCTTTGGATTTTGGTATACTAGCCTCCGCTGCATCCAAAATAGCAGATGTAAGACTTTTAAGACAAACTTGCTCCTCATTCGGGACTACAAGGTGGGTAACAAATTTTTCCCAGTTAGCTTTTTGGATTTTAAATTTAACCGCAGACTTAATCGCGGGATTATTACCAATTAATTATACTGTAAAGTAAACAACGATTATACACGACAGGAATCATTTCAAGATGTACCATTTGGGGATATTGGGTACTAACAAATGCTACTTATATCTCAAATGCTGCATAAATTCGCGGACGACTTTTACAAACAGGAATAAGGTGCCGCCGCGTCTTCCATTGCAGGTCTTGCCGGCTGCCGTAATCAGAGTTCATATTACACGATAAGTAGGTATTAATAAAAATGGTGATACTGTACCTAAGATTTATCTCATCCTTCACGTGCACTCCCGGAACGACGCGCCATCGGCTTTGGAACGTAGCGTGGAGCGCCAACTTCTTGGCGTGTTAAAAAGTGTGTAAACTACACGTTCGCCCCACTTGATTCTTCCATTGTGTGTCGGTAATAAGATGAGTTTAGTAAAAAAGAGACAACTTGCGACTGTAATACTTCTAAAATACATTATGGACAACGAAAATGAAGAACCGAAGAAAAGGAGGAAGATGGTCCAAGTCGTGGTATCTGAACAGGCAGAAATCCGGATTGCAAGGAAGTAATAATGCGAATCCGAAACCTTATTTGGCAACAGGTAACTCATTCGAAGATTTAAAATTTACGACAAGAATTTCTCCTAAAACTCTGCGAGTCATAATCCCGGGGACCTGCAAAGTTATATTCGAATAGCTGCATGAAGAATACATGTAAGTGTTTTCCTGTTGTGTCCTTATATTAGTGTATGTATTTAAAGAACTAGCTCCATAAGGAAAGGTACCACAAATTTAAGGCTAATAAATTAGCTGTCCAGAGAACAAGTGCGACAAAAGTGAAGCGAGTACTTTATACTATCTTTTTGCACTGTAAATTATTATAACATTCTGGAGAATGTCGTTCGTTGGACTATTGGCGAACCCGATTAATGATAGATATTATTATAATATGAATCCAAATGAAAATTAATTCTTGCTCTTTAAACATTATCGTAAAAAGTACATAGAATATCTCATTATCACGCCAAATAAATAATTCCCCTGAAAAATAGGTAGGTAACTAACAAAATACATAAACATTAACAGATCCTACATCTAATGGCACGAAAATAAAACGGCGTAAAGTAACAACAAATAAAACGAATTCTTTTTACCTTACTATTTTTACGTAGGTAAATATTTCGTAAATAACAGAACGTTAACTTTAATTCAAAAAATAAAAAAATAGATATGTTAAAGTAATTCTAGTAAAAAAAAGTACTTTTCAATAATATACATTATACAAATAATGTTACAAACTCGCATGAAAATAAACTAATCAAAACACACTCTTGTAAAAATGTAACATTACGTAAACGAAAACCAATAATTCTTAGCGTTTCCATAACTTTAAATAAATATCATTAAATTCCATTTCCAATGGGAAAAAGTAACAAAAACGGCCTTTTTCCTGTTTTTTTACACTTTTTTACTCTCGTTAGTACCTTTAGTTTATAGTCTCACAGAATAGAATATACGGGGTGGCCAAAGATAGACTGAAGGGGCGCGTCTCAGTGACATAACAACTAACTTAACTAAATTATCTCTCCTAGATATCTCTTTTAGCGATCAACAAACAGCACCCACCTCCCAAACCAGAATTAAGACCTTACTGACAAGTATCAGCGATCAAATAGAAGTGAGATCAAAAGAATACATCCTAGAATGCATCAGTATAAATAAGGACGGGGACTGCCTGTTTGGAGCGATTGCGCACCAACGGAGAGGATTGCCATTGACATCAGAGCCTCACAGGAAATTAACCAAAGGATTAAAAAAGAAATCAACGCATACATCAGGGAAAACCTGAAAGATTTCTACTCACAATTGGTAGGAGACGTAGACGGATAGGCAGAGGGAAGGAGAGAACCGGCAGAATCACGGAAATCGTAATAAAGAAGCACCGAGGCATTGAGGTGGAGAAATTTGAAGGAAAAGCAAGAGTATATCCATGGCCCAAATCAAAATGAAAATAGGAAGACTAATAATCCAGGTTGCCACATCCCCTCGGGCAAAAGAAGCAGAGGGAACTCAGAAATCGAAGTGAAACAACAGAAAAAAGTGCGGAAAGAACGTGGGTATCATACTAGGCGACTTCAATACGCAACTAGGCAGCAAAAAGGGGGAAGGGATACCATATCAGGAAAAGAGCGGCGAAACGCTCAAAGAAACAACAAGGAAAACACTAGGGAAACAGAAACCGCCCATGTGACCGAACAGAAAGCGGGCCAAAACCCACACTAACCTGAAACAAAGAAGGAGCTAAGGGAAGCCAAGGAAGAAGAAAACAGAGCCTATGAGCAACACGAAATCAAGGAATTCGCCGAGTTCGCGGAGAACATCGCCAAACTCAGACCAATGAAGAAGAATGTGCAAACGTAATGGTATAGGCACATCAGAAAATACAAAAGGAGGAAACAAGGGGGAAACAGAAAATAATATATACCAATGACAGCGTGGGCGATGCTGGGACTATCCAAATTCCTAATCAACAGAACCATAAACGCGTGGCAAAGGGAGTATACTAGTATACAACGGTTTTGGAAAAAACCCGAACACCAAAAGAAAACCAGGAGGATCAAACAAGGATGTCCGCTTCCCCAAGGCTCTTCGCGATAGCACTGGACCACGCTATAGAACAAACAAGGATGGTGGTGGCGAACCTTAGCACAGGCGGCCAATTACTACCACCGACATTACTGGCGTACGCGGACGATCTACTTGTAATCCCGGATAATTTATGACACTGAGGACTTCGTTCAGGCCAGCGAGGTACCAGGTACACCTGGAAATGGTGGACCTACAAATACACAATGAAAAGAGCTACATGATGATAAGAGTGCCAAGAAACAACACCCCCAGTACAAAGAAGGAGAGAAGACCATAAACGAGATAAACACGAAGCACATGATCAAATATCTGGGAACGTACATAAGCAGCACTCTCAACAGGCACAACGCAGTGCAAGACTGAATAACCAACGCATTCAGAATCACACACGGAATCTGGGACTTCTTACGAAAGAAGAAAATACCGGACAGCTGGAAAATGATTTACAACACGAACATAGCACCGGCAATGTTATACGGAATTAACACTTCAGCGCTAACAAGGAGCAACAGACGAACATTGAGGAGAGCGGAGTGGAAGGCACTCAGGATACTGAAGAAAACAGCAACCTCACAAGAAAGCAGAGAAGAGAACTACTAGAGGGAAAGACGATTACCAGAAGACTGAAGATGAGATACTGGACATATCAACAAGAGGAACAAAGACCATATCATACGGGCGGCCAAGATTCTGAATGCCTCGGAATGGAAGGTACGCCGACCCTGCCACACATGGAGTACCACCATAAACCAAACGGTAGAGGTCTCGGGGATTACCATGGGAAGATGGGAAGAGACGAGCAAAGACACACATCAAGGAAAAAAGAAAGCAGAAGAATACTGGAGGTGGAGGAAGAAGCCAAGGGGAGGAG